CACTTTCGCCCATGTCTTTAAAACGACCTCGACCCATCCCCTTGTTGTTTTGACAATGTTAAGGGCCCGACCCTCAGACGGGAACAGACAGGGGTCAGAGTTGAAGCTGCTCCTGTGTAAAGAGACTGAAACTTGCATGTACTCAAGTCAATTCAACTCACGAAATATGCAGATGGGGGTCAGGGAACTTGATGGTTGGCATTTGTAGGATAATATGAGATGGTAGCTCGGTCTGGACACATGGAGGCAAACACATAAGAAATGTTCCTTGTTCTTCGTTTGTAACTACTACTGTGCAGTTATGTTTAATATCTTTTGTTTATTCCTCGTTACGTTTAAAAGTGTAACTAACAGTGATGCTCGAATAATTCGAGACAAGGGGAGTGCTGATCTTCCGAGTTCTGTCTGTACCATAGCATTATCGCAAGTACAAGATAACGTGTTGTTTTAAATGTGATCATGAAGCAATCTGTATTCCGGATCACATTGATCATATGCCTCAAGTTACAACATACCATAGAGAAAATAGATAGAACAATCAAGTGACATTCAGCTGGTTGATGGGACGGTGGGGTAGCCTAGTGGTTAAAGCGTCCGCTCGTCACGCCGAAGACCCGGGTTCGATTCCCCACATGGGTACAATGTGTGAAGCCCATTTCTGGTGTTCCCCGCCGTGATGTTGCTGGGATATTGCTAAAAGCGGTGTAAACTAAACTCACTCACTCATCTGTTGATGAAGAATTCAGACGAGGTTGCATACTGGTGACAGGACAGTACAATGTTTATTGTCAACAATAACGGAACAATGTTTTTTTCTTATATTCCTCGGTATTCCTTTGCTACAAATACAACAAGAACACTCGGATTTTTTTTTATTCGAAATAGAGATTATGACAAACAACCTTTCGATTTTTGGTCTTTCTCTACACGGTTTAATGTTGGTAATTTTCAGATAAATGATATTTCGTTTCGCCGAAAGAGACTTCGTGAAGCTTGCCCCGTGTCATGGGATCAGTGAAATGTTTCACAGACATTAAGAACCTATATCTGATTCCGTCAATAACTTATGCCAAGTGATAATCTATTTCCTTGCGCATAAAACTGGGTCCCAAAATATTTCAGCAGTGCAGTGCATTCGATGATGCAAAAGAGACAATGGGGATCTTTCCTTGTTTGTTAACGTTGGGAGCGAAAACACTTGTTTACTGGAAAACATCACAAATCCCTCTGTAACCCAGAGGTTGTCATGAAGTGCAACGAAGCCTCGACTTCAACGAAAACAAAGTCCATGAAAATGGGGAAAATCTTGTTTTCAGACAATTATGTTTCTGATTTGGTTCTGAACCAGAGCACAAAAAGCAAGTGCAAAATTTGATACAACAACACAATTTTCTTGCTAAAGACTTCATTAATTTCTTTTGAAGTTCAAACTTGCCTAGGATGTGTTTCTCTATTTAGCGCGCATTAAACAATCTCTAGCGGGATTTCGGAAGCAATAAAAACAAATTATAAGTCATAACTAACGATTTGATTGGCTGAAATTTTGATTGCTGGAGCGTGACGTTCAGTAGGCTCCGTATTGGCGAGCGAGAGTTGTTGTTCTAACGAGGTGAAATTTACTTTCTGTTAGCTAAGGAAACAATAAGGCAACAACTTGCGTTTATATCCCAGATAAATCGATAAGCATCATGGTTTTTGCCATGTTGCACGAAAATTACCAGAGCATTGCGGAATAGGAAGTTATTTCAGCGGGGATGGCTGGCTCTATGGAAAGGATATAGTCCCAAAATTTCGGAAAGGACATACCCATCAAAAATAGCATTTTTATCAAAAATGACAATTTAAATCTAACACGTGTCTTTATTTTCCCGTCGCGCTGCCATGCGAAAAAGTTAATGCTTGTAAGGTCAACAAATCCGAATCCTCTTCCGGAGAAAATTTCGTACTTTGGTATAACTGAAAAGATTCCAGGAAGATGAGGATGCAATAAAGATGATAGTTGCATCAATCATGGAGCGATTAATAACCAACGCGCTCTTTAGCCATCGACAACAAACACACTACAAATACGCTAATTTTCGTGGAAAAGTTTGCGAGTCGTTAATTGGACGCCAATTATTCAATTTCGAAATGGGTTAAATTTCGCCTGGTTCATGCCGTACATGACCAATATGAAAAGCAGTCTCCTTTTTCAGCGCCGTTGTTAATTACGGATTTAGTTCTATAATTTACAAGTAATCGGTGGTTTTAGTCGGAACTGTTGGTTCTGTGATTATAACATCTAGAGTCCAGCAACTCATGGCTATTAGCGCGATAAAAACGATTTTGTATTCAAGCAATTTAGACCATTTAACCATTCTTGTGAGGTCGAGTGGGCGCATTCTGATTCAAAATTATTAGGCCGTGTTATATTGCTGGGTATTTTACTACGTATTATTCCTAGCGTAAATGATGAGAACTAGTTTATTAATATATATGTAAAGCGATAAAGTGGACTTAGGCATCACGATAAAAATCTCCATGGTGCCGATGGGAAGTCCATAAACTCCAGTTATTAAATGCAGTGCTATATAAACTTCGGAGGAGGCCACACAATCTCTTCATTAGAACTATAGGCGTTATGGAGAGTTGCGTCCCCTGTCGTGATCCTGCTGGTTGTGTGTCGAATCCTTGTAGGTCTATAATAATGATCCTTGGTTTGTCAATATCTTAGCAGATTCCTCGCTGTCGGTTTCACAAAGTTTTAAACTCAAATGTGTCGCTGAAATCTATTTTTCTTCTCGAATGATGAATTCGTTGCCAGGCTTAAGTGAGAGTGAGGGTTTTGTTTTACGCTTTTCCAGCAACATCACACACCAGAGTGAGTGAGTGGGTTGTTTTACGCCGCACTCAGCAACATTCCAGCTATATGGCGGCATTCTGTAAATGATCAAGTCTAGACCAGACAATCCAGTGATCAACAGCATGAGCATCGATCTACGCAATTGGGATACGATGACATGTGTCAACCAAGTCAGCGAGCCTGACCACCTGATCCCGTTAGTCGCCTCTTGCGACAAGCATGGGTTACTGAAGATCAGTTCTAACTCGGTTCTTCACACGTCCTTCATACATTGTACCCATTTGGGGAATCGAACCCGGGTCTTCGGCGTAACGCACGAACGCATTGACCACTAGGCTACCCAACCGCCCCTCAGCGAATTCAGTATGTTATGACATTCGTATCCAAGGAAACTGTGTCATCCGTTCCATGTTCACATACATAATACTTAAAGATTCAGAAAGGCAAACATCCATCGACACAAGACTGCATGAGAATAGGGATGAATTAAATTTTCCATTAGTCAACTTTCGCAATATCAGCAGCTCGAGGGTTTGGTGTATATGTTTCTTGATACCATGACTTAGTCTCAGATAATGATTTATCGGGGTAACATCACACGAAGTAAAGATGTTTTAGGTTTTCTGGTTAGCACATTTGGGACCTATTTTTTTTCGACGCATTAGTGACAAAAATGATGAGATTCCCTATACCAAATGTTCCCATGTTTGTTTCAGGTGAAAATTTACTTGGCTTTGCATGTGTTTTGTGACTAATTCTAATGGCGATGCAGGGTACGCTCACGTTCTTGTTAACATATGGTACAATCACTACCCGACAGAGACTCATAATTGCATCCCTATGATGCTGTTGAAATGGTCCCATATGAGTATGGAAATGACTTTATCGCTTGTGTTTAACTTAGAGTTCTTTGTAATCGAATTTGTCGCGGGAATTCGGGAACGTACCATGGTCCGAGATGTGTTAATGTATCATTTATTATGTAAAATGATGTCACTGTATACATACTGAACAGACAAACCTTTTCAATAATCGTATGACTGGGTCCGTTCGTTGAATGATTCTGCTCTTAGGATAAGCATGTGCTTATACAGCATATATAAGTTAAATATATCTCAGGTAAAAGCAAAAGTACATATACTTTGTTTATTTATGCTTTGTTTACTTTGGGATTTTTAGTGTATCATTACTGTGTTTTTGTAACCTCAACTTAATGAAAACTAGACAGACGGTGGAACAGCCAGTGCAATGAGTGTTGCATCCCTCACTCTCTCTCTTTTTCTTCCGCACGCTCCCTCCCTCTCTCTCTCTCTCTCTCTCTCTCTCTCTCTCTCTCTCTCTCTCTCTCTCTCGCTAACCTCCTCTCACTCTCACTCTCTCTCTCCCTCCCTCCCTCCTCTCTCGCCCCCTCCCTCTCACTTTCTCTCTCCTCCTCTCGTATTCGATTCCCAATATCGAGACTTTTGCATTCGAGTCTTGGTTTGCTCTCTTTGAGGTATGAGTGGCTTAAAATAGAACACGTTGCTCGCTTATATATTGACTAAATGAATTATACCGTACAACCACTGGTTGAAGGTTAACATCAGCGGCGAATTCTACAGATTTGCCCGATGTGGAAACACGTTGCAACGTCCAATTTTGATGTATCCAACTGTTACCTTCAAAACGCCGTATAACAACACTCATTCAGCTTTCACAAGCATTCCCTGTTCAACATTCATTCACATGCGCCGACAAATCTTTTCGTCAAACCGTTTGTACCGGGAGCCATGAATGTGTTTTTGTCCATTAAATTAAGATTTTAAAACTTTTTAACAAATTTGTACGCTAAGACACTACAGCGTGTAACAGGTATGAAATAGACATAGCCGAGATGTCTACGACATGTGTCAATCATTGACATTGCTCTATGTGGTGGAAGTATGACAAGCGTGTTAAAGACATCGCCATGGCCGTCAGCACGTGGCCCCCGCGCCAACACGCTGCATTCTTGACAATACTAAATATCTCTTTGTCTCTGAGCATGTAGTTCCAAAGTTGTGTGAATATATATTAACAACAACGACGTCAACAACAGAAAATACACACGTGTGTACCTTTATATAATGACTTGTGTCAATAGGCTGTTGATAAATAAAATGGTCGGACTATATTATGTGAATTTTTTTAGTATTACGGATTTGAGTGGCACTTGGATTTTGAAAAGCTTATAAAATCTTTGCAAAAAATGAACTTGGTTTTAGGTTTATTGCTTCAATGACGTTTCCTAGTTCATCCAGTCATGAGGGTGCCAATCGTCTTGGGTGCGTCGGATGTGAAGGGATTCCCTGATGCCACTGTGAAATGACGTCGTGAAATGGTTCATTCGTTTTTATATATGCTAGCAGTTCATCGTTGAAATGTATGTTTAGTTTTCTTCTTTCAAAGAGTGACAACTCAATTAAATATTTAGCCCTAAGCTTAAGAGAACGCCTGCCCGTGCTTTTCAAGGGAAACTCCCTATCACATGGTCAGGCTCGCTGACTTGGTTGACACACGTCATCGTATCCCGATTGCGTAGATCGATGCTTATGATGATGATCGATTATTTACAGACCGCCGTCATATAGCTTGAATATTGCTGAGTGGCGTTAGACAACAAGCAAATCCTAGTCAAAGTTACTTGTACCTCCAATGTTAACCGATATGAACGGAGAGTTTTAAACTTGATGTCAAGTCAAACTAAATGATTTGCATGAGTGTGCGCGTGCGTGCGTGTGGACCTTGGACCAGTAGCTCTGAGGTATCTCTTTTAGTACTGTAATGCTGCGAGCGAGGGTGAGATACCGACGCTCTCAGCAGTATTTATCTAACAACAGGGCGTGTCTGTCCCCAAATGTCATATGTGGTTGATCATTTTCCAGACACCCATGAGCATAGGCGTATGCTGATAAAAACTCGTCTCCTTGATCGAAACCACGATCCCTGCTCGTTCTGGTAAGGGACGCTTATCCATTCCATAGGCAATGAAAGAGTAAAGGTGTGTGGTGTTACGCCGTTTCTAGCAATATTCCAGCAATATCACGACGGGGGACACCAGAAAGGGGCTTCACACATTGTACCCGTGTAGGGATTCGAACCTAGGTCTTCGGCGTGACGAGCGAACGCTTTAACCACAAGGCCACCCCACCATCCCTAGCAATGAAATAATTAAAAGATATGACATTTGACAAATGTGGTCTGTCTTTAAAAAACCCATAGTGATATAAATAGCTGATGGCTGTTACAGTTTGCTGTAATCATGTTGGTCTCCACAAGTACAAATTCAGTGTCATACTACTAGAGAATGAGTATGGTTTTACGCCGCTTATGCAATACTCCAGCAATATCACGGCCGGGAATACAAGAAATGGACTTCACACATTGTACCCATGTGGGGAATCGAACCCGGGTATTCGGCGCGACGAGCGAACGCTTTAACCACTAGGCTACCCCAACGCCCCTGAGATGCCACTAATACGCTAATGGGATGGATCTGTATTATAATTTCTCAGTTGCTGTTCAAGCAATTATGGTCCACTGATATTTGGTCCGAATTTCTTAATCACGCGGGTTTCGTTCACTGTTCTGCCTACCCGTGAAGGTCCGGGTTAGAATTGGTGTTCAGTAACCCATGCTTGTCGTAAGAGGCGACTAATGGGATCGGGGTGGTCAGGCTCGCTGACTTGGTTGACACATGTCATCGGTTCCCAATTGTGTTGATCGATGCTCATGCTGTTGATCCCTGGATTGTCTGGTCCAGACTCGATTATTTACAGACCGCCTCCATAGAGCTGGAATATTGCTGAGTGCGGCGTAAAACTCTCTCACTCACATTCATTTCACGAATGATATTAGACGATGTCAAACCAATGGCATTCAAACATGTTCATCATAATAAACCAACTTCCCGGTATACTAAAATATTGTTCAAGTACGGAGTAAAATACGGACACCATCAAGAAACTATTTCAGCAATTAACACAGGGCACAAAACGTCATGTAGACGATGCTCGGACAATTCATTTTAACACCTGTGCTTTGTTAAAAAGAAGGAACACCTCGCGGTCAAATGAATGATTACATTTTAAACCGTGTAATTATATGCACGGGGCATCTTCATCACTCACGCACATGTTGAGCACGACAAACACATGTGCTTTTTATCTAGACGTCTTAAACAAATCTACAACTCTTCTCTTACCGTCGGTACAAACGTGCGAAAAATCAAATTTAAACACTGCCTACAAGGTCTCCACTGAAGAACTGCAGATACAGATGCGCTCATTGCCAGGAATATAGATTGCTCGTGTTGAAGCCACGCGCTCCCGCCGTGGTGGAAGGTGTGCTGGAATTCCTTCCAGCACTCCAATAGGATAGACAGAGCGTGATGGATGAATACAGGCGTTTATTACAAGCTAAAACATGAGTGAGTAGCACCCATACTCGCCGGTACACTAAACAGTGTCCCTTAGATGTGAGCTTGTGTTGTGTTCGTTGTATCATTAATCATTTTGTCACCTAGGTCGAGAAAACCCTGTGCTCCACGTTTGTCAAGACGAACGAGGGTTGTCTTAAAGGGGCTGTATGACACAGGAAACGAAACATCCCCTGTCAACCACTCCTTCATCAACATAGTCCTCTGATGTATGAAAAGTGAATACAGATACTCGTGTACTCAAACGAGGTAAACGACTGTCTGATCATCTTGATATAGTCATGTTGTCAAGGCATGGCATCAAATGGGGTAATATACTGGAAAACATAGTTAGGGATATATGCAAATTTTGAAATTATGAATAATGATCTATTTATTCATTGTCACACTGATAAAATAATCAATCATAAAAATACCAATATCCCTAACATATTTTGTCCAGTATATAAAAGAATTGGCGTCCTTAACTCTTTGTGAGTAGTATATTTGTGTACTCTTGTTTACTTTGGGATTTTTAGTGTATCATCACTGTGTTTTTGTAACCTCAACTTAATGAAAACTAGAAAGACAGTGGAACAGCCAGTGCAATGAGCTCTCCCTCCCTCCCTCCTCTCTCTCTCTCTCTCTCTCTCTCTCTCTCTCTCTCTCTCTCTCTCTCTCTCTCTCTCTCTCTCTCTCTCTCTCTCTCTCTCTCTCTCTCTCTCTCTCTCTCTCTCTCTCTCTCTCTCTCTCTCTCTCTCTCTCTCTGGATCCGCCTATGTTTAATCATTACAAACCTGGCAAGAGCAGTGGTTAAAACGTTGCCTCGTCTTGCTAAAGACCTCGGTTCGATTCCCGATATTGGTACAGATATTTCGAGCAGTGTCATCACTGGTCACAATGTTGATTATTGCTAAAGGCAGCATACGACAATGGTTGCGATACCCATTTAATCATCATGCTGAAATGACTCGAGTTCAAACCACATAATTCAGGATCAGTTTGTTGCCATTTCGATAATGCAAAACAAAGTGTTTCATGCACAAGCGTTGCATAAGCAAGCGATTGTTATAATCACACAGTTGGTGTCAAGGCACTAGATTGATTCCCCGTAGAATCGACACAAGACTTTGTTCCTGGGTTTGAAAATGCACTCGTAGACTAATGCCTTTTTTCTGGTTAATACAGCAGAATGAAAAAAAACTTATTGTTCTAAAGGGAGGCCTTGGTTGGCTGGGTGGAAGTGAAAATAATGTCAGGGACTATGATCGTCTCGTACCCTTACAAGGGGCGGTGGGGTGGCCTAGTGGTTAAAGCGTTCGCTCGTCACACCGAATACCTGGGTTCGACTCCCCACATGGGTACAATGTGTGAAGCCCATTTCTGGTGTCCCCCGCCGTGATATTGCTGGAATATTGCTAAAAGCGGCGTAAAACTAAGCTCACTCACTCACTCACTCACTCGTGCCCGTACGGCTTTGATTGTTGCTCACAATGTCAACCACTTGCCTGGTCGTGCTCGACCATTTAATGGCCGCCATTTAAAGTTGGAATATTGATTCGAAGTACAGAAGGGTCATCCAAATACATTACCTGGATTAGTAACAATATGGGAATCCTCAGTAACGCTGGTCTGAGATGTGCGCCACTTTGGTTAAACCAACGAGAATGGAATGCCTGATCATTTCGACGGTAAGATCGTAATGGAGGCCACTATTAAGTGTTCCTGATAACTATAACAACAGCTGAAGTACTTAAAATGCATATAAGGGGCGGTGGGGTAGCCTAGTGGTTAAAGCGTTGGCTCGTCACGCCGAAGAACCGGGTTCGAATCCCCACATGGGTACAATGTGTGAAGCCCATTTTGGTGTCCCCCGCCGTGATGATGCTGGAATATTGCTAAAAGCGGCGTAAAACCAAACTCAGTCAGTCAGTAACATGCATATAAAAGGACCACCAAGGGTATACTGTAGATGTTCTTCATATTCAAAAACCGTTTCATGAATGAAGGTCTCTTAGAAGAATAATGATGAAAGTGTACATGTGGTTTTGTAGCGTATGCATTTCACGTTAACCCAACCCGACAATTAACAAAGAAATTGGAAGACACTTACGAGACAAGGCTGTTGTGATGACACATTAGCTATTTTATGAACCTCTTGAAACACGTCCTTCTTTGCTGTAACGTTCGCTCACTGAAACTGATAACGCTGTCATTTGTACCAAAGACTAGTGTATTCATGTTTCAAACACTTTTATTCGTTTGAATCTTTCGTCTGTGAGAAAGGATTATAGCTTGGGCTAGTTCAAGACACATCTTTGTCTGACAGGCACGTGGTTGTGTACAATCATCTGATGTTGTTCGTGAAGACGGTAATGGCGTGCAGATCCGTGCTGTTACCATGAACTTCACATCTTTCGAGCTCCCAATTTCTACAATCGCTTTCGGAGTAATACATTTGATAAAAAATCATATTCTAATGTAAGCTATCTGGAAATCAAAGTTTCTGAAATGGATCATATGTTGAAAGGCAACGTACACTTATCAACTCGTCGTCTTGGAAACATCGGTGTTCTGATACTGCTCTTTGCAAAGCTCTGGCACACCCGCAAAGCTTCAGATGATTCGTTTGTCAGATTCGTTTGCCAACGCTGGTGTTACGCCATATAATGGCCGGGCATCAACGCTTATCTTACGCATGTTCTCATCCCGTGGGTGAACACTTAGATGTCAGGTCTGATATTTGCCCAAGCATCAATCCGCAGTGAGACGGACACAGTTCACGTCAATGTCTTGCTTTTTTGCGCTGAACGGTCTGGAGAACGTTTATGGATGTTTTGAAAGTTCGTTTAAAGGATGTAGCACCTGAATATATTCAAGACTCAGGATAATTGGTGATGGAGAAAGTATGACTAAACTAAAATTGGTGGTTGTTTGGAGTTTGTTATAAATGTAATGCACTGAGTATTCTGAAAGCAATCACCTCGTTGGGATCAATTGCAGAATGTTGGTTGCCGGTTGCAAGGCAATTGCAACCAGCCCTCGTAGGCACTCTTCCTGTCCTTCTCATGCTCTTCTTGGTATTGATACCATAATACCTCCTTCTTGCTCTCGTAGGCACTCCCCATGATGTCTCTCGTCCTGTTCTGCTCATATTCATCTTGGTAGTGTTACCACAAACCTCCTTCTTGCTTCAGAACTAGGCATCAGGCCCGTAGAAAGAAAATGTCCTCGTTAAGTTCATATCATAGAAATCTATATTATTTAGTTGGACATTTGTCTGAACCATATCGATTTACAGGGATCTTCCCTAATACCAAGCAGGAATAAATTTCATTGCTTTAATTGATGTAAGACAATACACAATTATATGTCAAGTTTGTTAAATCATTTTAAATAGCGAAAACTCATTAGTCTTGTTCGATCGTCTTCCGACGGTCGTGCGACGTATATAACATATATAAGTATTTAATGTTTGTTCATAAAATGAGGCATCATTCGTCACATGTTATTATATAATCCGAATATTCGAATGAACTGATAACTCAAATATTCGGATTATAAGAAGTTGAACATATGATGGATGGATGACCATGGGTTCATCGCCTTTGTCTTGTTAGCAACGTAAACGGAGAGAGGATAGCATTTGTAAGCCGTTTTAAGCAGTAACCAATTGGATATTGCCTGTTTTCTTGCGCTGATCTTCACAGTGATGCTTGCATAATCAGTCAATACACACTAGATACAATCAGACACAAATTCACCAAACTAACTTCACCATTCAAAACACATTGAGATGCAATACAATCAAAGCATAAACATACTCACATATCCTTATGTTTGCTTCCAGATTCAAATTACACAAGAGCTAATAAACATAGATTTAATGTTCCCTAGACAAGATATAAAAGGTCCATAACAGTTAAATCGATCTCTGTGCATGCAATAAGTATATAAATATCACAGGAATATCCACCCGACCTAGCGTGTGGAAATACACTTCACAGGGTCACATTTACTCTGTTCACTTTAAACATCTCGTTACTTGTGTGGCTACGATCAAGTGGGAACACAATTTGATTCTTCAAACAATAGAGTCACGTTTTTCTTTGAGGAAACAGAGACCTGTAAACATAATAATGCATAGATTTGCAAATGAGCCAGTGGGGCATTTCAATGGCGTTATTGGACAGGGAGAAACTTTATCTTGACCTGAATCACAGTAAAGAGTGTTTAGATGTATTATTTTTGACAAAAATATTTTTATTGTATTGATAAATGTGGTCGTAATAGCGTTCCTATCTGTAAGAAGTGCTGCAATTGACACGAAAGAAAGAGATCAACATGTGTCTATATTCTTCGGAGATTGGCATCTGAAATTGACACCGTTTTCTTAATACTCTATTGCAACGTGAAACAATAGGTACACGTGCTGTGGTCATTGAAATATGTTTCTTTTACGAGAACTGGCACGGTTTTCAGCGGATTTATGGTACTTAGTTTGGCAAATGTGAGGCGTGTCGGCTGATATGTCTTATCTAACGCAACTGATCACAACTGTATGGAAGGTGAAGGACGAATTGTAACGTTTTGTATTGTTGTTTTGCTTTAGTAAACTGAAGTGTAAAATTCTGCTTCTCGTCACACGATGTTTGGAATACAAAAGTAGTGTTTGTCAGAAGTATCAGAAACATTCTGACACCTGTGCATTCTCTACGTATTCTTGACCATACGCAAAGAGCCGGCGAGGCAGTAATGTTGTCAAATGTTTCTTCTTCACGTCGAAGGGGGCGGTGGGGTAGCCTAGTGGTTAAAGCGTTCGCCCGTCACGCCGGAGATCCGGGTTTGATTCCCCACATGGGTACAATGTGTGTCCCCCGCCGTGATATTGCTGGAATATTGCTAAAAGCGGTGTAAAACTAAAGTCAGTCAGTCAGTCTTCACGTCGAAGGCATAGGTTTGACTCCCCGCGTGGGAACAATATAGGGTGTGACTGAGTATGGTTTTACGCCGCATTCCAGATTCCGATGGTCACGGATTCGAGTGAATGAGTGAGTTTTACGCCGCACTCAGCAATATTCCAGCTATATGGCGGCGGTCTGTAAAATATTCGAGTCTGGACCAGACAATCCAGTGAGCAACAAGCATGCGCATCGATCTGCGCAATTGGGGTACGATGACATGTGTCAACCAAGTCAGCCATCCTGACCACCCGATCCCGTTAGTCGCCTCTTGCGACAAACATGGGATACTGAAGATCAAATCCGTATCTTCACGGGTCCACGGATTCGAATTTCATAAACATCTTGATAATAATGCCTGACATCACAGCACAAAAACCTTTTTTTTTTACTTCACATCTTGATTCAGGTTCTTTATTGACAGCATCAAACCCGGTATTCCTGGGTTTTATCAAAATGGTAAATGTCTGAGACAAGTTTCACCTCACCTTCAGTGTTATCCTCCTAGATAAGCTTGATACACAATATCATTTTGTTAACAATATCTGTATGTTCTTGGAACCTCTAACCTCGATGAAACTGATATCGTACAATTCATTGATAGCATACTCAACGAACAGATTCTTATCATTAATGCTATCACCAAACAATCTCCTTTACGGTATAAAAGCTCAATTTATTACGATATCATTATATTAGATGTATTTTAAGGACGACGGATATCATATCGCAACGAGATTATTAATATTTTCGCGATTATATTAAAACGGAGGGAATTTATACCATCCAAATAATTAAACATAATTTATACAGATTATTAGGCAAATGTTCCTTTCTGTTTCTCGGGCGTGTGGTACACTTAGCTTCGTCTGTGACAGCGACGCCATAGCGCCACCTCATCAGGGTCAGTTCGGCCACTCCAGCGAGATCTTAGTATGCGTCATTGGCCCTTTTCGGATTAACTTAAATCCCCGCCAGTTCACTGCTCACCTCGCTTGAAGGACAGTCGAGAAAGCCCCGTCAAACCTTGACATCCGTACGCGCAATTCGCCCAGACTCGCACACCTCGAGGGAGGAACTTTTATATTCCTAGTCATAAAATTCTCATAAACAGTCAGTAAAGATACAAGTTTATAACATATTTCTCGCCTCTCGGGTCCACGCCACAAGATACCGCGGACGAACGTCCAAAGTATTACTACATTCAGAAATAATCCGTTAAATTTATGAGATGCAAGTGGACATATTACTAAGACAAACTGTTTTGTAATATCAACACGGATAACCTAGGATATAATGGCTTAGAAGGAAAAAATCCGACCGATATGGTCACTGGTCATATGAAAGTGACCCACGACAGTTTTATGACCGACTGTCCGGCTTTGAAACCTCGCAGAGATTATAGGATCATCTCATATTCTGAAAATATTTTTTGGGGACAGGAAACGAAATTGTCTTCAGTGATATTTATGGAGGCTCGGAATGAGGGCCTGACCCTACCAGGTGCAATGTGGTTTATGGGTTGTTGTTTTTTAATTGTTTTGTCCATTATGTTTGTCATAATTAATATTTCGTTAGAACATCTTTGTGTATCATATAATCAAATAGTTATTGTTTTGTACAAAACACAAAATTTAATTTGGAAATGTTTTTTTCTGTTTTTAACACAGAATCTAATTGTTTGCTGTAGTGAATAAATATCACTTTTGAACCTTTTTTACGTTTATTATGGAAGACTATTATGCTTAATATAATCATTAACTTTCTAAATGGCAATCCGTCTTTAGAGTAATAAGATGTGTGTATGTCTGTCTGTCTACACAAGCAATCCATCCACCCGTCTACTGATTAAAATGGTGTCTGTAATTTACTATTGTTTTGCTTTACATGTTTTATATTATTTGTTGAATTATTGCTATGCGTGAATCCTTGGTTTTTTTTCAACAACACTTGTTTGTAATGATTTTCAGTTATCCTTCATAAAGTTTTCGTCACTATTGTTCCCATCAAGAAATCTGGAATCGTACTTTCTGACGGTTTGACTTAAAATTTCGAACCCCGACTCATGCATTCTTGTTGCAGAACAATACGTTATTACGTAATTATGACGCTTTAATGACAAAAGAGCAATACTGAACACCAAAAGGATTGGTGTCAATGTTCCCACATGAGTGTGTCTACAAGACTTCTTTGGAAGGAACTTTAGAATCGGAAACGCCCTCTTTGCTATTATCAGACT